CTCCCTCCCTCCATTCCTCTCTTTCTTTCTATGTCTTATATGCATGGGTTTTGAAGATCACCCGGGTGCTTTGGAACACATTTATTTCCATTCTCTGAGTAGTTGTATTTTCTTAGCTGCTTTGTCACAGGCCCCCTGTGTGTAGAATAGTTTAACAAATAAAAGTGTCAGCTGGTGATTTATAGACCCCTCTGGGCTGTCACCCTCCCCTCCCAACCCCTGTCATCACTCTGCAGTTCAGGACAAGGAATGACAGCACACCCTCAGGGACTGGCTTCTCTCTAGGTCAGCCACATCAGACAGCAATTTCCATGGGTTGCAGGGGCTGCACTGGTGCATTGATATACATATAGCCCTACCTTCAAAATCTTGCCAAATACACTTGGAGTTTGTTTTGTTTTACTTTCTTCATTGCTGTGACAAAATACCTGACAAAAGAATCATAACGAAGGAAGGGTGTGTTTCAGCTCACAATTTGAGGGTACAGTCCATCACGGTGGGGAAAACATGGCAGCAGTAACATGAGGCAGCTGGTGGCATTGACTTCACAGTAAGGAAGCAGAGAGATAGATGCTGATGTTCAGCTCACTCTCTCCTTTTTACCTAATCCAGGGCCCAACCTATTGCATGGTACCACAACCTCATGGTCATCCCACCTCAATGAACCCAGTCTAGAAAAGCCATCCTAGACCTGCCTGGAGACTGTCCAGCTGACAGTGGTAATCATCACAGAGTGCATACTGGGATCAGAGCCTCACTAAGTATTTGGGCACAGTTTGGGCTTGCTTGAGGCTGAGTTTAATGATTCCCACAGAGTGGCAGCTGAGTTGGGATGTCTCCAGAGTAATTCTAAAGAGAAGAAGGAAGTTTCCAAAGCAGAAGCAAAGCTGTGTCTCAGTGTTATGAGGCATGGCCATCAGGCAGTGGGTTTTGAGGGATCCCAAGCATTGGGGTGGGAAGTGTCTTCCTGTCTCAGAGCCTAGAAACCAGCTGATGTCCATATTTTCCTTTCTGTTGATACCACAGGTCATCTTGATCCTGACAAAGTACTACCATGCAGACATGGGGAAGGTTCTGGAAAGTTCTCTGTGGCGGTAAGTCAGCCTGATGGGCTTTTCTCTTCCTATACATGTGTGTCATTGTCTCCTAGTCTCCTGGCTGAGACTGGAGTCCCACCCGGGCTCCAGCAGCTCTGGCCCACTAATGGGCTCCACCAATTTTCAGTGACTAGAAAGACATAATGGAGATGTCGAAAGCGGATTAGGAGTTTCGTCAGGGGGACAAAGGGCTCTGGCAGATGGACAACTGTTTGGAAGGCTTCTTTCCTCGCTCTTTTCTGTCTGTTGTTTTCTCCTGGCTCTTTTTGCCTGCTCCCCGGAGGAGGAGGCTGGCAGCATGAATCCAGGTCACTGCACAATATCCCTGGCTCTGCTCTGGACTCTATAGGCAGCTCCCAAGCCCCCCAAAGCTCAGGCTGGCCTCATTGTTGGGGTAGTTTGCTTTCTTTCCGGCTTAGCCAAAGAACTGTAAATAAATAACCCACCCAGGTGGGATATCTCTTTATATGTGAAACATGAATTGGGCCCAAGGACATCAGACCGTCTTTGATGTCTGAGAGGGGAGGAGGGAGGAGGAGGCTGAAGAGACCATTTTGGCCATTATCACCGTCAGTTCTGTTGGAAGCACAAGGACCTCTCCGGGCTTCGGGTGGGAATCTTCCCTCCCACAGGAATTTTACCATGATAGTCACTCTTGGTGTGGGATCATTTTGCTTTCTCTGTGTGTTTCTCCAGTAGTGATTAATTCATTTTAATTTGGGTTTGAAAAATACCTGCCAGTTGGGACCGTTTGTTTGTTTGAGATAGGGTCTCATTCTGTATCCCAGGCTAGCCTGGAAACTAATCATGCAATTTCCTGCCTCTGTCTCCAGAGAGCTGGGACCAGGCCTGCGTCCCTGTGCCAGCCTCATCAGAATGGCTTGCAGGAAAAGCCACTTGCACCTGCCTGCCATGGGATTCTCTTTGGTTTTGGCTTTGTTTGTATCAGAAAGATTTGGCCTACTTGTCATAGCTCTGTGGCATGTTAAGAATGTGTTTCAATGGTGCCTGGAATTGTTTTGTTTTGTTTTTGTGATGGCAGTGTTACCTGGGGCCAACTGTCCAGGTCACTGTGGTACTAAAACCCCTTGAGTTTTTGTCATGCCTCCCCAGCCTTTCTGGGCCAGCTAGGAATTCACCTGCTCACACACCAATCTGTTCCTGCAATGCTGGGAAAAGTGGTCAGGAATGGGCCACATGCCTGGGTGGAGGGTAAGCTCTCCTCGTGGGACCCTGATGCTCTCAATGTATCTATCTTGCTACTCTGGTACTTGAGGAGGGGGGATATTATTGCAGAATAAATTTAGGCCTTAAATTCCAGTGGTGGCTCAGTGGATAAAGGCATTTGCCACCAAGCCTGACAACCTGAGCTCAATCCCTGGAACCATGTAGTAGAAGCAGAACTTCTCAAGTTGTCCTCTGACTTCCTGCACATGTAACATAGCACAGGTGTCCACATTATACACATAATAAAAAATGCATAGATGAAATGCATAAATTTTTTTTTTAGCAGCATTAGCTTCTCTGGGATTAGCTCTAGAAATCTGGCTTAGAGGTGTTACCTGGGGAGGGCAAGTGTGAGGAGGCACCTTCCTGCCAGGTGGAGTGTCTCCTTTCACTGCTGCATAGATGGAGGTAGTTTTCATTCTTCTTGTACATTAAACAAAACTCTCAGACTTTGGACTCTACCAGTTGGGCTGCTCTGTTCCCCACCCCCTCGGATACCTTCCCTAGAGATTTCCAGAATGCTGGCTTCCTCCACTCTCAGCTTGGCTAAAGGAACAGGATGTGGAAGTCTCTGGAACAGCGTTTGGTGTTTGGCTAGCGAGCTACTTTCCTGGGGCAGTCAGGCTTTTGCAAGGCACTTGCTAGGTGTAGGTCCTACTTACTTTGGGACCTCATGGGGTATGGAGGACAGAGAAGGCTAACTGAGGTCAGGACTCCTGAGTGACAGGCTCCGAATTCTTCAGAAGCTGATGGGGAACCCCAGAGGCCAAACCACCCCTATAGAGCTGTGGGCGAGGCAAACTTCCTTCACAGAGCCTCAGTTTTTTTTTAAATCTGTTTGAGAGGGGTGAAATGGAGGACAGAGAGGTGGTAAGATGGAAGGAGTTGGCTTACAAAACAACCCTAGGACGGTATGTTGTCTAAATTTGGATTTTCCCCAAAGCAAAGCAAAAGATTTTAATTTTTCCCCTTCCTTTCTCTCCACCCAGACATTTTCTCAGCTTGATTAAAAATGCATTCAGAAGCACTAGTCATTTCCAGAAACTTCCCATCTCCTCTGCTGGTGCAGTGACTTTCTGTGTTTATATTACGCTTTTTTTTTGTGCTGATGCACTTGCACAGACTTAACAGTCTAAGGAGACTTGAGCTGAAGTTTTGCATTCCTTTCTCTTTTGCTCATAAACCAGGCTTCCATTTTGCACACTGTTCTGAATCCTGCACAGCCATTACTTTTCTGGCCGCTTATGGGCCTTTGAACTGATCCTGCCTTTGAGCTCCCATCCAGGGAGGGTCCAGTGCTCAGAGCACCAGTCTGACTTTCCCAGTTTGTCAGTATCCCAGCATCCACCTGATTCCTGGTGAGGAGCAGTTTCCATGCAATTCTGATTACATTTTCTCACTGGAGTGTCATCTGCTCTTATCTTGCTCCCACAATGGGACAGAGCAAGGAACACTGAGAGGCCAATAGCATGCCCACGGGTCCTTTACTGGGTGCTGCCTACCTGCTGTCTGCCTTTGAGGCCTGTGGAATAGATGGTTCAGGTGCCAATGTCTGGGGAACACATATTAAATGGGGTTATTAAAGACACACTTATTGAATGCACACCGAGCCTCCCAAGAATTCTCCCGTGTAATCACAATAAATACATTTTTAATGGCAGGTCTGGTATTTACATTCTGGAAATGGCTCTGGGAAATCGAAGCTGAATGCATTTTTAATTGTTCTGTGTTTAATGGGCCTCACGTCAGCTGCATCTCCCTCATGGCTTTCTTGACCCATCATCAGCACCTTCTGTCTGCATCCTCTGCCAGTGTTGGGTCCTTAGAACAGTACATTCCCACCCATGTTGGCTGGTGCCTAGGAATTGAAGTCACCTGTCTCCTCCTTCCCTGGGCTCACAGGCCTGGCCAAAGCCTCCTCACTCAAGCCAGAGTTGTTATCCTGTCCATCCTTAAAACTCTGGGCACACTGGCTACTGTGCTACTACTAGAACTATTGACCACACTGGGGCCCTTAAAACAATAGTCATGGACTTCCATATTCCTGGAGGTCAAAGGTTCAAACCATTTGAACAGGGCAGAACTTCCTCTGAAGACTAGGAAGGCTCAGTATATCCCTGCCAGGCCCTGGTGGCTGAATCACTGAGTCCTTTCCTCTGTCTTCTGTGTGTGTTCATATGTATGTGGATGCACATTGTGCAGGTATGTATGTGTGTGGGTACACACTGCACAGGTGCATGTGTATGTAGATACATATGCATGTGTATGTAGATACATATGTATGGTCTATACACTGTACAGGTACATGTATGTGGGTACACACCGTGCAGGTATGTATGTGTTTATACACTGTGCAGGTGTGTATGTACCTTACACATGTGCCTGTGGAAGCAGAGGTCAACCTTCAGTGCCATTCCTTTGGAGCCATTCACTTTTTTGTTGGTGGTGTCTTGTTTTTAAGGCAGATCTCTCCCTGGCCTGGAGCTGGCCCAGTAGGCCACACCTTCCCGGCTCTAGGTTAGAAGTGTATACTCCAATGCCTGCTTTTTTTTTCATGTGGGTTCTGGGGACTGAACTCAGGTTCTGTTTGCACAGCAGGTACCTTACTGACTGAGCCATTGCTTCAGTCCTCTGCCTCTGTTGTCGCATGACCTCCCCACTGTGGGTTCCTTCTAAAGACCGTGACTGCTGGCTTTAGTGCCTGGACAGATGATTTGGCATGTTGTCATCTCAAGAATCTTAACTTAGCCACCTCTGTGAGGACTCCCACAGCAGTTCATGGGGTTCACGATGTGGACATCTCTTTGAGGGAGCTCCCTACCATTCAGACCATGGCAAGGTCCACTGTTAGGCTCTGAGGGTGCCATCTGTATTGGATTTCTAAATGGCCACTGGCTCTTGCCCTGTTCTCTGTCCCTCAACCACACTTTTTGTTCCTCTTCATCCACAGCTAGATCCCTGATTCCCCCCCAGCTGGCCATTTTGCTGCCACCCACCCTTTCCCAGAAAGGCCCAGGCACTTGAAAAACAGTCCTTTGCTGCTGATGAACTCAGTCCTATCTTGTGGCTCACACCTGCTCATCCCAACCCTCTACGTAAACCCCTGGCGGCCCAGGTGTCAGGGTTGGCAGGCAGAACTGAAGCCGCCACAGGGATGTGCGGGGACTTGGGTGTTCCCGGTCTCTGGAGGATATTTGCATTCACTTCCATAATAGAGCTATGGGTTCATGAGATAAAGAGAAGCGAAGGGAAAGAGAAATTTACAGCAAAGTGCTCTGTGACTGCTGCCTACCCTGTCGTCTGGGAGTGTTGCTAGGCCTGTCCAGTGCTTCAGGACCCCACCCCATCCCAAGGCTAGGCACAGCAGTCAGTGTGGTGAGTGATTCCTGGAACTGAATGGGTCCCAGGACTCTGGGTTCTGAGTGTTAAAGCTGAGCCAGCCCTATGGACAAATCTGTCCCCTGAAATCCACTGAAGACCAGCCCCCCAGGAAGCCTGCACTGTACTGTGCCTGGGGTTCATGTTTTCAGCCTTTCCATCACTATTGTCCCCAGCCTTTTAAAGCTTGCTTTCCTAATGGCCTCCCACACAACTGTAGTTTCCGTGAAGCACCCTGCAAATGTGTTCTTTGTGTGTGGGACTCATATCCCTTCAAGAACCAGTACCGGCCACCTGGGGGCGCTGTTTACTCCAGTGATTGTGCCTGGTGTAGAGAAACTAACCTTGCTTCCCTGGCCAGGACTCGAAATCTAGAGGAAATGCAGATGGAT